ACATTGGATCACAAGCGATTCAATTCGTTCTTGTCTTGTTCAATTCTTTTAGGCTTTTTTCTTATTCTTTAATTCATTTATAATGCATAATGCATGCCTAAGAGTGCTTAGAAATGAAAGAGAATGGAAAACGGAACATAAAACAGCTTTTCAAAATTTTCTGAAACAGGGCCCTTCGCTCGAGCGCAACTTTGATTGCTCAAGCAGTTTGCAAAACTTTGTAAAAATACTAGTTGCATGAATTTTACGCTTAAGCGAGACTCTTTCCGCTCAAGCAAGGAGTCTTACAAAACAGAGTTCGCTCGAGCGCAAGATTTCTCGCTTGAGCTACTGTGTAAATCTCCGTAAAACTTCTGAGAGCTTGATTTTTACGCTCAAGCGAATAGGCCAAATTCTAGAATTTTCAGAATTCTGTTTGAAGCTCAAAACTCATTTCCAAAGGCTAAAATCATGCATGACTTACCCAAAAACTTCAAAAACATGTATTTGACCATTAATACTTGAAGAATTATATTTTCTTATACATAAAACTTCATGAATTTGGAAAATCATCACTCTAATTTTCCATGCAAGCATGATTTCAAACTTAACTCTTTTCTATCATCATCAAGACATGGATTTGAGCTCTATAACTTCAAAGGTCACGCAACCAAGTTCCATAATTCTATAATTCATGGATGCATGTCTAAAATAACCACCAATTCTACATGTTTAACATGCTTCAAAGCTCAAATGTACATAATCATGGTGAATACTTACATGCATGTATATACAAACTTCAATTTCATAATATTCAACTCAAATCTCATTCTTAGCTTCATTTTATTTTTGAATTCACATAACCATGATCTTGAACTCATAAATTAGAGTTTGATTACCCACCACAAGCTTTAATTCTTCCAACTATAGCCAAATCTTGAGCTAATCCACCTAACTCTTCAATTCCTTGGTAAAATCTTCAACGTTGAGTCATTCCTCTCTCTAAATTCGGCTCTCTCTCTCTAGAGTGTCTAATTTAGATTTTTGAGCTCAAAAGAATGAATATAAGTGTAATTAGGCTCGTATATATGCTTCCCTAATCAAACTTGATTAAGGATAATTAACTGTGCTTAAGTTAATCAATTTAATATGATTAACTTGGTCCAAATCAAATTTTAATTAAATTTCATCGTAGGTTCTAAAAATCATGCTAATCACAATAACACAATCAATTTCAATTTCTGTTGCCTCTATGGCCCTTCAATTTAATCTTATAGCAGAAAATTAGATAGATTTTCCTACGGTGAACAGATATAGATTCAAAAACATAATTAATCACATAAATATCACCCAAAATCATATTAAGCACATAATCACAATTATAATTAAGATTAATTAACGTAACACAGAATAGGGTTATCACACATTTCATTCTTGTCTCAAATCTGGGATAATAAGTCTGAATTCCCAGACTAGTTTGGAAACACATCAATCCTTTGGATTGCCACCTCTGTTGCCCATATAACTTTATTTATTTATCATTATCATTTTAAAATTAATTGGTGAAGAATTCATTTTAATGAACATATATGACATAAGATTCAAGAATGGATTTATTTTGATTATAATAATAAAAATATGGAAATGAAACAAATTACTGTTTTAAAAGACTCTTTTTTCCTCTCCATTTTGAGTCTGGTTCTTCTTTAATTTCTACTTTCTTTATGTCTCACACACTATTATCAATCGTTGCCTAGTCACTCGTCGGGAAGGGTCATCAAAAAATTACTAAAAAACGCTATTGAAAAATTGGTCGGCGTCGAAAAAGTCAAAAAAAATCGTTGACAACAACAGACAAGTGAACATGTAAACAGATAAGTAAAACATATGAACAGATAAATAAGACATGTGAATAGACCTTGAAACAATTGTTCAAAAATTTAAAAGTTAGACTTCTAACCCATGTGCCCTTTCTATATATACGTATATATTGAGTGTATGTGTGTTAACTGTGTTTTCTTTTGGATAAATTATCCAAAAAACATATATATAGTGGCGGCTTTCTTGATCTGTTTTTTAAAGGGATAATTACATGTTATGAGGGTTTCAAAAAAATACAAAAAAATAATAAATATTAAAATTATAATTATAATTTTTTTATTATTTTATAATAATTTTTGAAAATGCGTTCTAAATAGTAATTTCTCCTTTAAAAAAAAAAAAAAAAATCCAAATGATGCATGTACCCAGATGAAATGTCTTGAGATGTTTTAGTGAGCTGTCATATTGGGCTTTAAGCATTAGTGTGAATCTTTGGGTCAAACTAGACTACTCTAAATTATATGGAGAAGTTATAGATTAATGTAGAAGAAAAAAATAATTATACGTATACGAGGTGTAACATTTTTTTACAGCAAAAGTTGTACCCATTTTTTAGTAAATAACTTCCCACTTCCCAGTACTTTGTAATTTTCCTAAATTATATTAGTAATCCTTGTAGTTGATCCTTATAATTTTAAAGATAACAACATACAAATAAAAATTTCATATAAATTTGTCATATGAAAAGATATGACTCTTTATACTCCTTTCATTTCTAACTAAAACACTGTTCAATATTATTTATTACTTCAACATTGTTCTGTCATTGTCACATCATTCTGATTAAATTTTTTGTAGAAAATTTATGTTTGTAAACTATTTTTTTAGGAGTAATTGCTCTACATGTCCTGTTATAAAGACTTGTGCACCATTAAATCTCACAAATGTTTGTATAGACCAAAAAGTTTTATCAATTCGTCATTGAAAGTTAATTTGTTAGGATTGTCATTAAAAAATATTTTTTGTAATGATTTTATGAATATATCACTAAAAAATCACAATTTTTTTAAATTTGTTAAAAAATTTGAATCATAATTAATGTGGCCAATATTATGTTTAGGACAAAGAATGGCCCAATTATTAGGCCTTCAATTCATAACCAGATCCTGTTGGCTAATCCACCGTCACCTTATCAAACAAACGGAAGCATGCTTATATTGGTGGGTCTCAAAACCATCCTACTCCTTTCTTTTACACAACCAAATCAGAAGTACCCAAACTAACCAAAATGGATCGACTGATTTTACTACATAGCCATTATTCCATTCAGCATTCTCTCTCCCTATTATTCCATTCAGCATTCTCTCTCTCTCTCTCTCTGATTTTACTACATAGTGTCACGGCCTTGGAATTTCTGAACCAACCCTCAGTCTTTCCAAGCCAACCGTGCGGCCTTAGATGCTTGTAGCACGCGTTGCTTGTACCTAAGTAAGCCTTTTGTGGAAGGGAGCTAGGGGATTGCACACACACAAGAGAGACTTGGAGAATGTTAGCTTTGTATTGCACTTAAGAGAAAGCTTACAACACTTGGATATTGGGTTTGGCCAAATGAGGGCCTCCCCTTTATATAGCCTTACATAGAATATTCTAGAACTACTATGGTGGAGAGTGTTCTAGACACTTCCCCCTACTACCTCTAATAGATTATTCTAGAACTACTTGAATGGAGGGGATTCTAGATCCTTCCCCCATCCTATCAAAGACCCTACTCTAGAACATACAAGACTTATGTACAAGGTACTAGAGTTATGTATAATTCTCTACAATACTCTATATTGTTCTAGATTCTTCTAGGCAATTCTCCCATAGCCTTTATTCTTGTACCCATCTAGAGAGTTCCAGAACTCCCTAGCATCCTTCCTGGCCTTCATACTTTCTCAAGTCTTCCAGGAGCTTCCAAGCCATTTCAGTAGTCTCCTTTTCTTGAGATTTCCTTTTTGTAGGTTATTTTTCCTTGGTAATGTGGCGGGGCGTGACAATAGGCATTATTACATTCATTCTGTCTTTCTCTCTCACTGTGGTTTTTGGGATACATTGCACTGCATGCTCGTCGCGTCGGTCTTGATGATTCGGCGGGGTGTGACATTCTCCCCCACCTATGCTTGCGACGCCCTCGTCGCGTCTCCATCCTCGAAGTCGTAGTCTTTCTCCTTGACTTGCGCCTTCTTGGTTTTCCTTTGTCCACCGTTGGCACCATGTAAGGACCCCCGTCCATAATGCACCAAGTGTTGTTGCGAGGCAACATCGCCATGTTGAACTCTCGCGGTAATTCGATCTCCAACACCACTCCATGGTCATTGACTTCTTCGCGCCACTCACCAAGGTGCAACTCAACCCCTTGAGCCATGCCCTCCACGGACTTTACCTTGGTGTTTTCCACCTTCATCAATCCTTGACCCCCGTCAAGGTTCGGATCAACCCGCTTGGCCTCTTCCGCATTGATGAAGTGGTGCGATGCCCCGGTGTCGACCATGACTTGGGTTGCCTCCCCATCGACCTTGCCCTCTACGTACATCAAACCCTTATCCCCTTGGGTTGATGCAGTAGGCTTCGCTTCAAGCAGCTGCAGAGATCCCATGCAAGACTGCTCTTCCCTTTCTTGCTCCTCTAGCTTTGCAATGAGACTCCTCCTCTTAGGACAATCCCTTGCCCAATGTAGCTCATCGAAAAGGAAGCAGTTATGTCTGGGCTTCATATCCTTAGCCCACTTTGCCCATTTGCCCAAATTAGCAGCAATCTCCCCTCCGCGGTGCTCCTATTTTCCTAAATTATATTAGTAATCCTTGTAGTTGATCCTTATAATTTTAAAGATAACAACATACAAATAAAAATTTCATATAAATTTGTCATATGAAAAGATATGACTCTTTATACTCCTTTCATTTCTAACTAAAACACTGTTCAATATTATTTATTACTTCAACATTGTTCTGTCATTGTCACATCATTCTGATTAAATTTTTTGTAGAAAATTTATGTTTGTAAACTATTTTTTTAGGAGTAATTGCTCTACATGTCCTGTTATAAAGACTTGTGCACCATTAAATCTCACAAATGTTTGTATAGACCAAAAAGTTTTATCAATTCGTCATTGAAAGTTAATTTGTTAGGATTGTCATTAAAAAATATTTTTTGTAATGATTTTATGAATATATCACTAAAAAATCACAATTTTTTTAAATTTGTTAAAAAATTTGAATCATAATTAATGTGGCCAATATTATGTTTAGGACAAAGAATGGCCCAATTATTAGGCCTTCAATTCATAACCAGATCCTGTTGGCTAATCCACCGTCACCTTATCAAACAAACGGAAGCATGCTTATATTGGTGGGTCTCAAAACCATCCTACTCCTTTCTTTTACACAACCAAACCAAACCAAACCAGAAGTACCCAAACTAACCAAAATGGATCGACTGATTTTACTACATAGCCATTATTCCATTCAGCATTCTCTCTCTCTCTCTCTGATTTTACTACATAGGCATTATTACATTCATTCTGTCTTTCTCTCTCACTGTGGTTTTTGGGATACATTGCACTGCATGAATTTGAGTTTATGAAACATCCCATCTGATAAGTAAGGAAACTTGAGCAAGAACTTCAAAAAAATCATTTGATTGAAAAAAAAAAGTGAACTACCTTGGCAGAATTGAACCTGCAACCAGTTCTAAGTTCCCCACAAAAATACGAAAATGTCCATAATTATCTTCTAGTAAAACATATTTTAAAAATTTTGATGGAAAGTAACAATTAATAGAGAACATATGTATATATATAGAAAGAGAGATTAATGGGATTTGGAAGTAGGAAGGTTGGTTAAGGGCATTTGGGGCCACCTTGTTTGGTCTTCCAGTTGTTGTAGCAAGGGCATGTTTGTTTATTGCCGTAAGTGCCAGGGGGCACACAAAGGCATTTTGAGCAGCACTTGAGGCAGAAGAACATGCACGGCTTCTTGTGTGATGTTGCTGAGCATCTATATGTACATCTTGGTCTGCAATCTGTCCATTTGAAAAGAATTACATTTTTTGTGTGACTTCATACTCAACTACTTCTCAGTATTTGCCATTTTTTATTACTTTACGGCTAACAATATTACTTACAATGCATATATACTTCAAGAATGTTTTTTCTTTTTTCTTGAGCAATTCAAGAAATTTTTTTTTTTTGATATTAAAAGATTGAATTTTTAATTTGATTTTTCTAAATAACAAGGTATTGAAACAAATGGTTCACAAAAATATATATAATACCTGCAGGACGAAGCCTATTGTATCCCTGTTACAAAAAAAAAAAAAATATTAAAAACAAAGAAAAAAGGGATGACATTAGACATGAGAGAGAGAGAGAGAGAGAGAGAGAGGGGCTTATTTTAATTTCCTCAACCACATGGGATAATGTAATCAAGAGAAGTAGCGAGACCAGCAATAAGAGGAGTGTGTTGTACGAAGAATGCCTTGCCATCTCTCTCTTTCTTTCTCTACAAAAGTAGTGAGTGGTCTTGGTGGATATGAGATCTTTCCCAAAACAACAATCAATGAATGAAGGAAAATGTTTGGTAGCTCAAATTTTTGTGGCTCAAATCTGTCAAAACGACATCGTTTTACACTCAAAATCTGTCAAAACGACGTCGTTTTGACAGATTTGAACCATTTGAGCTACAAAAATTTAAACTACCTATCATTGTCGATGAATGAATGAGGATATTGGACAGAGAATAGAATTTATAGGAAAGGACATGAATACGAGGCTTCAGCCGTGATGAATATTGGGAACAAAGAGGGGCCAAAACAGGGTGATTATTAGATATTTTGAGAATATGATCACCTGATGCTTTATAATATTATGATTGATAAAAATATGACATATTATAATTTATGTTGGGTAATTAAAAAATATGAGTGACATAGCCTCCGTTTGGGAAGTGGGTTGGCTTTTTGGCTTTTTGACTTTTTTGGCTATTTTAACCTGGGCTTAAAAGCTTGATTTGAGAAGGGCTTTTTGGCTTTTTGACTTTTTTGAGTTTTTTTATGAGAGAAGAATGTAATGATTATGGTTGGATGTGATGTTTTATTTGTTATGGCTAAAATAGCCTATTTTGTTTTTTGTGGCTAAAATAGCCAAAAAAACCTGCAAACCCACTTGCCAAACACAGGCATAGTAAATAATGATTAATAAGGTAGTATGGACATATGATTAGGGCTGCAAATGAACCGAGCTCGTCAAGCTCGGCTCGTTTATCTTTATTTAAATTATATAATAAATATATTATTTATATATTAAATAATATATAAATACATAAATACATTATTTATATATTAAAAATATATAAATATATATAAAAATAATAATACAAATACATTTTTTATATATTAAATAATATAAATAATATTAAAAAAAATTTATCGAGCCGAACTTGAGCTCAATAAACGAGTTCGATAAGTAAACGAGCGGAGCTCGAGCTCAGCAAAACTCGGCTCAGCTCGGTTCGTTTGCAGCCCTACATATGATATGATGAAAAAAAAAGGTTGGACATAAAAGTCCATTTGATTTGATAACATACAATACAAATTACTCCTACATTATTATTGATTATTGATTATTGATACAAGGGTTAATTTTTTTTTTTTATTTAATAAATTACACTCTATCTCTTTTATGTTTAGTCATTTTTTCACTTTAGCCATTGACATTTTTTTAATATTTATTTTAAACTTTGGTTTTTTATGTTTCAAGTTTTTTCAATTTACTCCAAAAACTAATTTATATTCAAAATTAGACAAAAAATGTTACGTTAACTATCACATGACATAAAAAATATATTATTATATTAAAGTTTGAATTGTCAGAAGTGTGAGTTATATATATATATATATAAATTATACCGTGTGACCATTAATTTGTTATTTTTTGTCTAATTCTAAACATAAATTAGATTTTTGAGTAAATTGGAAAAAAATTTAAAACATAAAAAATCAAAGCGAAAAAAATAAAAATAAAATTAAGAGTCAAAATGAAAAAATGATTAAAAATAAAGAGAACAAAGTGTAACTTACCATTAAATTTTGATCCCCAAAATATGGGTATTATGTCATTTTGATTCTCAAAATTTAAATTATGTCAAGTTAATTCTTTAATGTATAAAAATAATTCTATTTAGGCCTCGTTTGGGAACAGGCTAATTTAATAAGTTTTTGACTTTTAGGCTAAAAAGGTAACTAAAAAAAACTTGTATGTTTGGGATGACTTTTTGACTAATTACAAAAAGATGTGCAAAAAGTAGAGAGAAAAGAGAATTTTTGACTTTTTGATATGAATTGTTAGTTTTTTAGCTAATTTAATAATTTTTTGACTTTTTAACTAAAAAAGTAAGTTCCCAAACAGGGCCTTAGTCCCAAAGTGTAAGTCTTGTTGGTCTCAAAGTATGAGCATGGGGTGTGCGTGCTTCGATGCCTTTGGGCATTCCATTTGCCAACGATATTTAGCCTGTGTTTGGCAAGTGAGTTTGCAGGTTTTTTTGGCTATTTTAGCCACAAAAAATAAAATAGGCTATTTTAGCCATAACAAACAAAACATCACATTCAACCCATAATCATTACATTCTTCTCTCACAAAAAAACTCAAAAAAGTCAAAAAGCCAAAAAGCCCTTCCCAAACCAAGCTTTTAAGCCCAGGCTAAAATAGCCAAAAAAGTCAAAAAGCCAAAAAGCCAACTCAAAAGAGTCAAAAAGCCAAAAAGCCCTTCCCAAACCAAGCTTTTAAGCCCAGGTTAAAATAGCCAAAAAAGCCAAAAAGTCAAAAAGCCAACCCACTTCCCAAACGGAGGCTTAGTGGATTTGATTTCAGTTTTTTAAATTTAGTTTTTTAAAAATTAAATTTTTTATTTTTCATATTTTTTAGTGATTGTTTTTAAAATTATAAGTATTTTTTTTTTACTTTTTTAGATGAACCTTACTTAGATGTATTTAAAAAGTAAAATATTTGTGAGAAAATATTTTAATAAACTAATAAATAAACAAAAATAAGAAAAATATACCGAATTTTCGTTTTATTTTTTTGTATTTTTGATATTTAGTGAATTTTTTAAAGATTTTTTTCATGAAAATTATAATTTTTAAGTATATTTATATTAAGTGTATTTAAAAATTTTAAAAAAATATTTAAAATATTAAAAAAAATTAATAAAAATACAAAAATACAAAAAATAAGAAAAATAAATTTTTTAAAAATCTGAAAACAAACATAATGATTGATTTTGTTGAAGTGATGGTTGCGTCTAATGCAATCCAATTTGCTATCGATTTATGTGTATGTGAGTGTTTGAGAAGCGTGTTTTTTTAGTTATAGAATATTGAAGAATTTTTTTTTTGTGTTTAAAAAGATTGTTAAGTTTTTTTGTAATTAGATATGATATTTATAAAAGAAAAAGTGAAATGATTATAGAATTTGATGTGATATTTAGTTTGAATTTATTTTTTTTTTGATTTTATAAAACATTTATTTTGTAGTGAAAAAAAACAAAAACAAAAAAAAACTCAAAAACCAAGGACCCAAACACCCCAAATGTTCACTTTGAGAGTGATTCTCTTACGGCGGTAAATGCGTTAACTGGGTCATCTTTTGATCTTGCTTCATTTGGTCATGTTGCGGGATGTTTATGATCTTTTGTAGTTTGGTTTCAGGCCGATCAATGGATTATTGTTTGGAATCACGTAAATAAATATATTTTTTAATTTTTTATTTGATTTAAATTAATGTATTTTTTCATTTTTTTATAAAATATTATATAAAAAAATAAAGAGGTAATGTAATATAAAAAAGATAAAAAGATAAAAAATGTATTTTTGTAATACACCCCAATCCAACCCAAGTCCTGTATTATTTTCTGACCTAATATTTAAATTGTGTCAATTTTATCTCTAATAAATAAAAAATATTGTAATTTTAAACATGGAGCACCAAATTGAAACAATTTTATATATGGACTTCAAACATTGGACACCAAATTAAAATATTTTTTATATATTGATAACTATATTGATATAGTTTAAATATTAAAAATTAAATTAATGTAAAATTCATATTTTGTGAATTAAAAATGTAATTAATCTTGGGGAATTTTTTTTTAAGGTCCTTAATATCAAGATTTTTACAGAGAAAATTCAACTCAGAAAAATTTTGTCCAACGAAGAGAAATTTGGTCCCAACTCTGAGAAATTTTGTGATCATACCACAAAAATTTTTTCTCTGTGAAAATTGAAATTTTTTTGAGTTGGGATTGAAATTTCTCTGAATAGGGCAAAATTTCTTTGAGTCATATTTTTTATGTGAAAATGTTAAGGGACCTTAACTAATAACAAAAAAAATCTTAAACCTCTCTTATTACACAAAATCTAAAAAAAATAAAATAAAAGAATAGTGAAAACTAATAACAAAAAAAATCTTAAACCTCTCTTATTACACAAAATCTAAAAAAAATAAAATAAAAGAATGTTTCACTATTTTTTTTTTTAATCTTGATAGACGGACGCAGATCATAGTATAGTAGAAGGAGAACAAAAGGGGAATGAGGTAAGCGTCAATAGCGCCGTGTTTGTTGTGTGGTTTTGTTCCAATTTGTCGAACTTTGGGGTGTTTTAAAAAATTGGTAAAAAGTTGACTTTTGACTTTTTACCAACCTTTTTAGCTTTTTGGAAAGTGATTTGAAAAGTTGGTAAAAAGTTAATTTTTGACTTTTTAGTTTAATATTTATTTATGGTGTCAAATCAAATTAAAATGACTAAAATACCTTTACCCAACATAAGAAATTTATTTTTTAATTTTTTTGTCATAGGCCCTAATTTGTTATTTTACACTTGCGTTTTTATAACTTTCCAAATCAATTTTGTTGCGTTTTTGCCACTTGCATTTTTAGATCTTTCGATAAAAATATGACTTTTTATTTTGGTTCCCAAAACGGACCTTTACTCCTCTCCTGGACCTTTACTCCTCTCCTGTCCTCTTCTTTTTTAACACACTCAAACACACGGCTTTCTCTCTCTCTCTGGTAGTTAGAACATGATATACTTTGAGATCATTTCAAAATCCTCATGAGGCATCATGATGCAGTCCCTTTCTCTATTATCTTGATAGACGGACGCAGCTCATAGTATAGTAGAAGGAGAACAAAAGGGGAATGAGGTAAGCGTTAATAGCGCCGTGTTTGTTGTGTGGTTTTGTTCCAATTTGTCGAACTTTGAGGTGTTTTGAAAAATTGGTAAAAAATTGACTTTTGATTTTTTACCAACTTTTTAAATTTTTTAAAAAGTGATTTGAAAAGTTGATAAAAAGCTAATTTTTAATTTTTTAGTTTAATATTTGTTTATGGTGTCAAATCAAATTAAAATGACTAAAATACCCTTACCCAACATAAGAATTTTATTTTTTTATGTCATAAGCCCTAATTTGTAATTTCACACTTGCATTTTTATAACTTCTCAAATTAATTTTGTTGCATTTTTGCCACTTACATTTTTGGATCTTTTGACAAAAACGTGCCTTTTTATTT